TTATGAAATTTACTTGAGCTTAAACAAATTTTAAAAATTTGGTTTTAGCTTAATCGATAAAAATATTACTATAAATCGTTATTTATTGCCCAATATCACAAAGACGACGTTAATGGCGTAGAAATAATGAGAATTAAACGAAAGAAATATTTCAAACAATTTATAAAATTTTTTCACGCTTTAAAATGAATGCGTGAAAAATAGTTGAAATATATTTTACTGGTAGAATATAATTTTAATGATATCTCTCATCAATCATTCTACGCTGTCGGCTGTCCACAAAACTTCCCACGCTTTTTTATTTTTATTTATTTTTTTATTTTTTGTTATGGCAAAGACACGCAGTGAAATGTAAAATATTAGAGACACATATGAATTATACACATACGTTTTCATTACATATATTTTGTAAACTGTAAAATGGATGTGTATTTTTTACAGAAAACTGTATGAATTTTCTTGAAATGTTTAATAACAGACTTGTTGAGATACGGATGAAACCGCAAAAAAAATTATTGTTTCAGCTTCACTCAAATATGCTTTGATTTTGATAATATGCTATTTATTTTATGTATTGTACGTTCTTGCGTATTTATACAATTAGAAATTTGTACGATAGCCACACATATATGTTTGTAAAAACACAACACATCTGTTTGTGTGTGGTTGTGTGCGTCTTTGTGCGTGTAAAGATTAGTGAAACGTTCCTTAATTCATGTCAATAATACAAGAATTTGCTTTTAAGATATCCAGTGCAACGGAATGGAAGGGTAACGTTAACTCAATTGAATAATAGCACGATCGGTGTAGAGGTGGATGAGATCCCTTAGAAGCAGTCACGAACGCCTAATGCCTTTATAATCGCATTTGTATTTATTAAAAACCATTTCCTTGCCAGCAAGTACAGGCGTAAAAATAAATGCATCACGTACTAACTTCTTTTAATATGAATAAATGGATAGATGGTTGGCTGGTCGATTAGTTAGCTAGTTGGATGGTTGGTTGGTTGGCTAGTTGGATGGTTGGTTGGTTTGTTAGTAGGTTGATTGGTTGGTTTGTTAGTTGGATGGTCGGTTGATTGGCTAGTTAAATGGTTGGTTGGCTAGTCAGATGGTTGGTTGGTTGTTTAGTTGGTTGGTTGGTTAGTTGGTTTGTTGGTTGGTTGGTTGGTTGGTTGGTTGGTTGGTTGGTTGGTTGGATGGTTGGTTGGTTGGTTGGTTGGTTGGTTGGTTGGTTGGTTGGCTGGCTGGTTGGCTGGCTGGTTGGTTGGTTGGTTGGTTAGTTAGATGGTCGGTTGGTCGGCTGGTTGGTTGGTTTGTAGTTGGATGGTTAGCTGGTTGATGCTGACAAACGAATTTATCGATCAAACGAATGATTGCTAACCAAACTGCCACCTGGTTGGAAATATTTTTGTAAGGTAGAAGCTGCTAATCACTAACAGTGCACTGCTGTCCCAACTCATCTTTGGACGCATGTTTCAAAGTGAAAAGAAAAACTTGAAAGAGTTTCACAAACTAATGTAACCGAAGCAGTAACTTTGAAACTTCGACGAAGCAGTATACAACGACTTTATTTGATTGGACGATCCGATGCTATTAATAACTTTAATTATTTTATATAACAAATATTAAAGTGTAAAATGTGTAGTACTTAAGTAAGCCTGACAAATTTCAATATGTGGTAAGTTGAATGGGTGTTGGCTCTGTCGAAGAATCACCTGCTCTCTCGTGGGTTGATATTCAAGAGGTTCTTTGCCGCGTGGGGTTGGCGTGGGAATCGATTCTATATAAATTGCATGAAGAGCTAATATCAGATGTTTGTTTGTTTTCAATGGCACATAGGATTATTTTATGATAAAAATAAGGACACCAAAATAGCGTTTTTAAGCTTTTTCAAATGTTTTAGAAAATAAAATTTCAAATCAGACATTCGTGAACGCAGGAAATGTTGTAGCAAGGACTACAAAGAACCACACAGAAACTACGCTATCCTTCCAAATATATCTTTTTCGTATTTTTCATTCAATTTGCAAAATTGACTGAAAAAAAAGCATCTTGAAAGACAAAAAACTTCATTTCGTCATGCAGGCCACATAAAAAGCCCGCAATGCAAATTATCTAGCAAATAGCCGTAATGGATGGCAGAACTAGTTTTTTTTCTACCATCAAAGCGTTTTTTTCATTGTGTATCCTGCTATTACATTAGTCAACATGATTGGTTGGCTTGTTGGTCGGTTGGTCAAATGGTTGGTCAGTCAAATGGCCGGCCAGCCAGTCGATTGGTCGGCTGGTTAGTCCATTAGGTAGTTGATCGTTTGGCTGGTTTGCTGGTTGTTTTTCATCACCAAACTACAAATTTAAATAACCAACGTTTTTGTTACTCTTTTAAATTTACTGAAACAATTTGTTCTATTTGTTTATTAATTATAAAACTATCATTTTTTAAATATAAATAAAAATAAATAAAAATAATACAAGAGAAGAATGAATAGAATAATGAAGAAATTTGTTGGAGAGAATATGTATTTCACGTCATTAATGTTCTTCCTGTCTTTTTCAGATATGTCAAGGTTGTTGTGTTTTTTGTTGATGTTTTTGATGTTGTTGTGTTTTTGTTTGTTGTTGTAGATTTTTTTGTGTTTTTTGTTAATGTCGTTGTTTATGTTGATGTTGTTGTGTTTTTGTAGTTGTTCTTTTCATTTGTTAGTGTTGTGTTAATGTTTTTGCTGCTATCCAGAATATCCAAAGTGAAATAATTTAAAGCAGCCAAAAGTAGGCAGACTGTAGGAATATAACAGTCATGAAAATTGAAATTTTGAGATATACACTCGAGCTTGTGCGTAAATATGAAGAAAATGAATAACAAAGAAGATACACAAAATGAAAGCCAAACAAACAAACATTTATATACACAATCGGATGAACATACAAATCCAAAACATACAAACTGACAAACAAGCAAACAAACTTGTACAAAGACAAACATACGAATAAGCAAACAAATGGTTGAGATAAGCAAAGGCATATGTTGAAAAGTGTCGTATGCTGACAAAACCAATGATTGTCCTTCATGCGACAATCACAAACAACACAAACGAACAAAACAACACGAACAAAACAAAATGTAAAAACAAACAACACAAACAAAACAAACACCACAAACACATACCACAAGCACTATTGGCAGTAAAACATTTGCATATTAAATGAAGCGTGCGGTCAATATTTCATATTGTAGATGACCACTGAGTCCATATGACAGGAGATTTCTTGTGCTAGATGTTGTTGCTGCTGTGACTACTGCAACTGTGTTGTGATGGTGGTTGTTGTGGTGGTAGTGGTTGTAGTTGTTTTGGTTGATGTGGTGGTGGTTGTTGTGGTCGTTGTGGTGGTGGTGGTTGTGGTTGATGTGATGGTGGTTGTTGTTGCCGTTTGTTTATCGGTTCACTTTGTTATTTGTGTGTATTTTTAATTTCTTTTTGGCTCCGTAATGATGATTATCATAATGATGAATGCTCATCATTATGATAATCATCATTAGATTTTCTATTGTAATTATTGTCATTAAGTAGAAGATGACGATGACGACGAAGACGTTGGTGATGGATGCACGGGAGGCACTACTAACATGCTGATGTGCGATTAAAATTTTTGCAACAATAATGCTATTAAAATAATAATGACATTATTTACTTTTACGGACTCTCATTTTTCTTCCCTGCAAGATAGGCCCTGCATAAGTAAAGCTATTTTCGAGGAAATGTTCATGATGATGATGATGATGGTGGTGATGATGATGATGATGATGATGATGGTGGTGGTAATGATGATGATGACGTGATGTTAATGACGATGTTGAAACAGAGCTTAAAAATGCTTCAATAACGGTTGCCTTTTTATCCTACATTAGACAACTTATTGAAATTACTGCTGAGTGTTTGGCGAAAAACAAACAACATAATCTAGATGAGTAATACTTTCTTGAAAATTATCTCACATTAAACTTTAAATTTTACTCAAAGTTGGATTGGCCAACAGACAAATGTCCAAACTTTATTTTTCAGGCGGTCTTTGGGTTACTTGCAAACATGGATTTATATAATGTATCCGTGCTTGCAAATTATAAAGACAGAATAAAAAGAACAGCTTTTATGACAAGTGCACTATAGCTCAATTCTTATCAAAATACATGCCTGTATAGATTGATCAAAAATGAAACAGTGCTTAGACATGCAGCAAGTGACCATTCTGAAGATTTTAATATAATCTGAATGTTATTAAATGAATGTTCTACAAATTGTGGTGATGGTGATGATGATGCTGATGATACTGACAAAGATGTTGATGATGAGGATTATGTGATAATGTTAAAAAATTAACGTTCGACCGTCGGAACATCAGGGCAGAATAATTGGATTCATTTATAACGACAGTCGCAGCAAGAAATAAAAAGCCGTTGCGGAATTTTTTTTTAAAGTAAAAGATGGGCTCAATCTTGCGTGAAATTATAAAAACCGCCGCTCACTTGATCGAGTTGTTGCTCCTCGCCTGTAAATTTAACGCAGAAAATATTTTAGAAATTTTTTTAATTCATCTCTACAAAATTTGAAAACGCTTTATCTCGTTTTGTCTGCATTGAACTTGTAGTATTGCATTTATGTAAGTAATCTATGATCTTATTATACACTGAATATAACTTCACTTCTATGTGCATGTATGATGTAGTTGTGCTTGCAGTTCGGCCGGTGTGCCTCCATTCTTCTAAAGTTACATCACACCAACAATATGTCACCCAAAATAACCTATTGAACTGCACGGTGCATTGAAATATTTCGCAGCCGCCAATGAACCGAGTTAAATTATGGACTGAACTTATGAAAAATTGTAATAAATTTTAAACTTTATAATGTTCCTTGCAATCATTCATTGTTTTTCAGTTTTAAATCGTCAGTTAATTAATCGTTGCACAATTTTGTAGTTTTAACAGAATTTAAAATTTTTATCTATTTTATTTTTAAGAATGTTGAAAAAGATCTTATTATAATTGTCTTTTTATGAAATTTTTTGATCATATTTTTAATTCCATACTTCAAAACAACTGTATAAATTTGTAACACAGTTGCAAAAATGTCAACAATTATTTGAAAATTGTTCATTAATAATAATACATCATAATAGTAATGATAATAATATTGTAAATAATAAAAGTAATAGTATTAATAACAAACCAAACGTTATACGAAGGATAATAATAGCTACAAAATAGTTAACATAGGAAGCAAGCAGGAATGAAACCTCCACAGCTCTCAACAAATTTTTGTAATGAAACTAGTTATATATTCAACATATTCCATCAAACTTGCTGTTTGAAATATTTTTCCGAATAAACTTTTCCAACAAATAAATTTCAAAAGAGTGTTTTAAGCCTCCTATACTCTCTACAAAACATATGAGGTGTTTTTCGAACGAGCCAGCCAACTTTTGATCAGTTACAAGAAGACGGAGTGAGAGTTGCCGAAATTGACGTAATCATAATTCTGCCTCAGCAGTTGCTCCAGTTCAATGCAATGTTCCTGGTTCCTCGTCTCTACAATACATTTCACCTGCAAAAACATTATTGAAAACTAATTGCATATCGAGTTAGCTGTTAGAGTGCTCTCATAATAAACAAGGTTCAACCCCATTTGTGATATGAAGAAGAAAACGAACGTAACAGGAAATGAGCAGAATTAAATTTTAATCTCCCGATATAAATACAAGAGTTGAACACTAATGCAACACGGAAATTTCAGATTATCCTTTAATTTCACTATTGAAGTTATTTATTAAGCAGATTAAAATTTTCTAATATAAATTATTTTTCCCTACCAATGTTGAACAAAATAAAAATTTTTGAAAAAATAAAATAAAATTTATAAAGTTTTCTAGGAAACAATTTTATATATGTTTTATATGAGAAACGCATGTATATTTAAAAAATGATTCGTTGCTAAAAGTACTTCACATCTGCAAAAATTTAATTAACTGAACTTGCGATAGTGTCTTTAAAAACTCACATTGACTGAATAAATGTCAGACTTCAGCCAGGCTCGTTCATGGAAAATGTCTTTCAAACTATAATAATGAAAAATAAATAAAAAAATAGCATAAAAATTCGGCAAAATTACAAATTATTTTAATAAAAGAAGACCAACCTGACACCAATGCTCGATATAAGTCTGGTCAGTTGGGCAATCCCACCGGGCCGGTCACTGACGGTCACTACAAATCTGCACAGACGACCATCTGTGGCAAGACCCCGCTCCAACACACGACCCAAAACTGTCGTGTCGATGTTACCTCCGCACACGACGCACACCACTCTTTCAATATTTTTTGTAGGAGCAACATTAATCAATTAAAATTTAAATACAATAACTTGATGTATGTAACAAAATTTCGTGTAAAATGTAACTAATGACCAACTTCTTTCCTTTCAACTCGGGCATGGAATCTGACAAAATGCCAGCCAATCCAGTTGCACCAGCTCCTTCAACCACACACTTCTCCATCTCAACCAATCGCAGGATGGATAACGCGATGAATTCTTCTCTAAAAATTATTTTCAAGTTATTTTCAATCATTTTAAATAACCAGAGTTTATAATTTTTTCATCACCTTCATTTCGTTCGCAACCAAATTTGAAAGTGTAAACATTTTAGAAAGATGAATTTCAATGAAATAGAAAAGAAGAAATTAATTTAATATATATTTGCATACTGTGTTTAACTTTACACGAACAAAACTAACTGTATGACGAGCATTCGGTCAATGAGAGGTTTCAATGTTTCAAAGGCGTTCACTCCAACCACCGGTATTGATAAACCTGACACAAAATAGAAATTAGCATAGTCATCCTGATTAACTCCATATTTATTGCAAAACCAGTAAACTTACTTCAAATATATTTTAAAAAATTTATTATTTTTCTTATTAATTAAAAATACTAAAATTAACTCAAAAAACTATTTGGTTCCATCTGTCATCAAATGCAGACTGACCATCGGCTAGTGTTGGGAGAACTTTAGTGTAAGTAGGGTGGCCTGCCTTCAATGCCACCGACATTCCAGGACTTCTTTCAGATTCTACACCCTTTCAAAAAAGAGACAGTACATCAAATATAAAATTCAAAAATAGTTATTTAAACGTAAAAGTTAACTAATGAAAGCTAACAAAAATTTTGACACTGGGCTTGAGTGACTTAACAGCCAGTGCCACACCAGCAATCAATCCACCCCCTCCCACTGGCACGACCACGGCATCCACATCTGGCACTTGCTCCACTATTTCTATGCCCATTGTTCCCTGGCCTGCGATGATGTTCGGATGGTCGTATCTGATGTTGGTTAAATAATGCAGAAATCAGGGCCAAAATAGGCATTGTTTAATGAGAAATGAAATTTTATAATAAGCAACAAAACAAAATAAGCAGACCCATTGATGTACATCAATCCATGCTTCTTCGAAATGTATATCGCATAATTTTTACTCTGCAAAAAATAATTTAAAAATTCTTTTGTGACAAATGAATGGTATATAAACAAACAAGCAAAGTAATTTCTAGATTACTTTGCGAAGGTAAATTTAAGAGCATGTTATAAAACCAAAGTTTACACATCACATTTCATTTGTTCTTATTTGCGTTTGTCATACATTTTTTTATTTCCATGATCTCAGACACAAAATATGAATGTAAGCAACCTCTCCAAAGTCCTGACCATGCACAACAACATTGGCGCCCAGCTGTTTGCAGAGTTCCTGTTTCATCAGAGGAGCAGTTTTCGGCATGACGACGATGACAGGAATGTTCAACTTGGATCCGTGATAAGCCAGTCCCAATGCATGGTTGCCTGCACTGGCTGTTATCACTCCCAATTTTTGCTGCTCCTGAATTCAGGAAGAATAAATTTTGTTCAAATTTTATTTAAATTAATTTAACGATTCAAATAAGTTTTAACACAAATTAAAGAATGCCAGTTTTAAAGAAATGGAGTTAATGTTTTAAAATGCTCAATAGTGGAGTGCAGCAGATATCTAATAAAACATTTCACATAGGCAGATTGGTGAAGAAAAACATCAATTAGAATCTTGTTCAACGTACAAAAATTTGAAAAAATAGAATATTTAGCCAGAAAACCAGTGAACATTCAACTGGTCAAAGTTGGACGATTCAAATGAAAACCACTGACCGGCGTCAAGCACATGAGCGCGTAACGGGCTCCCCTCTCTTTGAAACTGAAAATTTTTCAAACTGTTTCTTGTATGCCTTTTTACATTTTTACTTTTAATAGCGAATTTATCGTTTCATTGAACCCAAAAAACTAGCAAACAGACCTTCCAGTATATTGCATGAAATCTTTTTTTAGATACAACTCCATTCCAAGCTGTTCTGATAAGCGAGATCTCTGAGGTTGAAAGTATTTATTAATTTTTTTGATTTTTATTACTCACAAAAAAGTAGAATATTTTTTAAATGAAGAATTCATCTCAGTATTCATGCAAATTATGGCGCGACAATTTCAATGAACGATATTGTCATCTCCTTTGATAAACCATTAAAATGAATCTTCTAAAGAAATTGTCTTTGTGCATACAAGCCCCATTATGAGTTATGAGACATCAAAAAAAATTAAAACTAACATCACAAGGGGTTCGTTCAATGCCATTCTTAATCTTGAAGGCAGCAGCACTGATTTCCTGGAACTGTACTTTGATGGGACGATCCGGATCGCAGGAAGGATCCTTCAAGTCATCCTCATCATACTCCTCATCTTCGTCGTCTGTCTGTTGCACGTGATTTGCTAAATCTAGTGAATGAGACATACTTTGTTGAGTCTATCTGTAGTTCTAAAGTTTATAGGATTCAGTCTAATAAAGCAGGACACACATCTTACTCTCGAGTTGGAAAATAAATATTGTGTTCAAAAAATTTTCTGCTGTGTTAATATAAAAATATATGAATTAATATAAAAAATAGCACAAATTCTCTATTTATTCATTTATTTATTAGCTTGAAAATTAATCTTATTAATGAATATACAATTTTGAAATAAAAGTCATTTCAATTAAAAAATTTTAAACTGAACAAAATATTTTCAACAGTTGTATTATGATGATTAAAAATTAGGTAGCTCTAAACTTATTCTAAATCTGCACTGTCTTACATGCCGTTTATATTTTTCTTTAATTTTAATTTGTGTGATATTAAGTAAGTAATATAAAACAGTTTAGAACAATTTGCTTGGCATTAAGCTAGCAGGTCGCATAACGTTAAAGAATGCGGAAGCGCGCGCGCTGAACTTTAACGATTTTTCCTGAAAGTGAATTTACATTGTTATCGCAAACTCGCGTTTTCGTCGTCGTTATTTTTGTTTAATTTTCGAAAATGCGCCCATCTATATAATTTTCGGTTGTTATGAGCGATAAAAGAAATGTGTATTATTATAAAAATATTTTTTCTTTGTTGTTGTGAGTCACATTTGTTGCAGACTATTCGCTACGAGGTTGGTGTATTTTAAATTATTTTTAAAAATTAGTAAAACATGGGTAACACCGATTTTTTTTGAAGAAATGTGATAATTAACCATTTATTAACATTCCATAAAAATATTTTTGAAATTAGAGTAGAAGAAATATTTTTTACGGATTTTTTTCCGTGCGCACCACACGGTCAGAAAATGCATTGTATTGGTTGTGTTTTTTTATAAAAATGTTCATAACTGTTAAGTTTCATGGGTAACACCGACTTTTTTTAAAGAAATGTGGTAATTAACCATTTATTAACATTCCATAAAAATATTTTTGAAATTAGAGTAGAAGAAATATTTTTTACGGATTTTTTTCCGTGCGCACCACGCGGTCACAAAATGCATTGTATTGGTTGTGTTTTTTTATAAAAATGTTCATAACTGCTAAGTTTCATAAGTAACACCAACTTTTTTTGAAGAAATGTGATAATTAACCATTTATTAACATTCCATAAAAATATTTTTGAAATTAGAGTAGAAGAAATATTTTTTACGGATTTTTTTCCGTGCGCACCACGCGGTCACGAAAATGCATTGTATTAACTATTAGTGTATTGGTTGTGTTTTTTTATAAAAATGTTCATAACTGCTAAGTTTCATGGGCAACACCGACTTTTTTTGAAGAAATGTGATAAATAACCATTTGTTTAACATCCTGTAAAAATATTTTTGAAATTAGAGTATAATGAATTTTTTTATGGATTTTTTTCGGCACGCACCGCGTTGTCACGAAATTCAAAATGTGTTGTTTGAATTGTATTGGTAGTTTTTCATCAGAATGTTCGTAACTGCTAAGTTTCACAAGCAACAACGACAATTTTTGAAGAAATGTGATAAATAACCATTTATTTAACATTCTGTAAAAATATTTTTGTAATTAGAATATGATAAAATGATGCATAATAAAATGAATTTATTTTTTTACAGATATTTCTATTCTATTTGTTGAAGTCTTTTCAAAATCATTATGCAAGCTCAAGCTTTGAGAGATTTTGTAAAAGAAAAATATTCAAGACCTTCAGCACCCCTTATTATATCATAATAATATAATAATCATATAATAATATATAATTATCATAATATATTATATAATATATATAAATTATAGATATATATAATTATTTTATAATTATAATTAATCATTTATAATTAAATTTTATTGTAAATATAAATAAATTATTCATAATTATTATTTTCTTATTTTACAGCTGTTATAAAAACAAGAAAAAAATTGTGTTGTGTTCAATTTTAAATCGTTCTTTTCACGTCTTGTGCGCGAATATAACGCTCCATGCTCACTTAACATTGAGCGCCACTCTTAACATGGCGCAAGTTGAAAGTAAAAATAATTCTTTCAAAATTCGTTTTCTCGGTAACTCTAAATGCTACAATAATAAATTTGGTATTATTTTAATCAGCAAATTTTGCTTTATGTGAAAAAGTAAATTATATACAAAAAAAAATTATAAAATTATATATAAAAAAAAAACCATTAAAGCATAGCATTCAAAACAGCATGAACATTCGACGAACAAAACATGCAAACAACCATGCAAACACACAAACATGCACAGAGAGTGACCACTGACCTTCAAGAACGGTGTCGATGGATTGGGCAGTCTGAACATTTTCTTCGTGTGATTCGTCGTTTGTAACATCCATCATGTTCGGTCAGTTCGTTTCGAAAGATATTAAATGGCTTAAAAACACACCAAAAAACAAACTTTGATAACAACTTTGAAGTTATAAGAAGAAAAATCCAAACAATGAATTTGTCAAAATGTAAGTTCAACTTGTAATAAACGCAAAAATGCTTTGACTTTTCGAAACTAATTAGAAATTTACACGTGTTGCAGCCAGTAAAATAATATTCACAACAACAATAAGTAGCTTCTTAAGTAGATATTATAGATATTATGTCATATACGAAATCTCTGTCCATATGAAGCCAAATTTATTTAATTAAAAAGATCATTGCCAAGGTTGTTTAGCCACACGTAAACATGTAGGTATGCTGTTTCCAATTATTAAGTCAACGTGCAAAGTGTAACATGATAGAACATTTTATTAATGAATGCATTGTGATTTGCCAAATGAGCGTGCACGCAATGAAATGTGGTACAACATATCACAGTGCACGGTAGCAGTTTATCATAGTTGTATCTTGTACGAATCGCTCTTATATCTCAGTTTTGCACTTTCTTGAACTTTCGCTGTGAAATACGAAATGTTACTTGTTACTATAAATATCAATTAACATCTCTACTACCTATGAAGCGTTTGTATGAAATCTCGCAGCCAAACGAAAGTGAACAATGAACAACAAATTGAGAAATAGAAAAATACGAAAGTGTTCATTCGTTAGTTGGAAAGTGTGTATAAACAAATAAACAAAGTGCAACGTGACATGTGTGCTGAAAGTTGTACGGATGCCATTGGGAATAAGCAGATGTGAGACCGGCGCTGATGACTCTTGGACCGTGGATTGCGTTATAAATAATCTAGTCAAAAGTTCTTAATAAAGTACACCTTTGAAAACAGTCGTAAAATATGCTCAAGTAATCTTTGATTTCGAAATGTGTGAATAAAAAAATTATTCAAAATTTTTCTTTTTAAAAATTTCTTGCGGAAAAATAAAAACTCTTGTATTTACTGTTTAAACGTTTGCACTATTTGAAAAAATAAGATCTCAAAGGATATAAAATTAAATAAATATAAATATCTCTAAACGAAATGTTTCACGCAAACAAAATAATCATTCTTATTTAACGTCTTTGAGTTGCAGGATAAATTATGATGGAAACAGATACAAATATTTACACACACGTTTCTATAAAATACTCCTTAGTCAGTGTAAAAGATATCAGTTGAGTTGAATGGGCAAATTAATAAGTAACACATAAGTAGATCAAAAAAGACTTGTTAACTCCAACTAAACATATGAACTACGCTCTTGAAGACTGAATGATCTCTTAGAGAAGAGTTGAACTTAAACTGCTGCCAAAATTAACGTAGTCGTAGTGCAGTTTCAGCAGCTTCTCCAGCTCCACACAGTGCTCTTGATTTCTCGTTTCAACGACGCATTTAACCTGGTGGATGGATGAGCAATGAGAGCATGGCTGGTGCAATACTATTTTTACGATAATACGTTTCAAAATAAAATAAAAACTTTGTTGGGCTTGTTAACTGAAATAATTCAGTAGCTAACATTGCATGAGTATATGTACGATTTAAACCAAGCTCTCTCGTGAAACAAGTCTTTCAAGCTTAAATATTTTGTAACAAAACAGGTTGTTAAATTATTTTTATTTGTATTTAATATTTATTAAATTTTGAAAAATTTGGCCAAATAATGTAGAGATCACAAAATAAATTTGTTTAGTCATGACGATGTATCTATCAAAAATAAAATCCTGTTGATGACGAGATCACGGACCTCACTCCAATGCTCGATATGAGTGTGGTCAGTTGAGCCATAGCACCCGGTCGGTCGCTGAGAGTGACCACAAATCTGCAGAGACGACCATCTGCTGCCAGTCCTCTCTCCAACACACGACCCAGCACTGCCGTGTCTATGTTACCTCTACTCACCACACACACAACTCTGCATTTTATGTGTATGTGTGTGTGCCTGTGTTTGTGCGTGCGTGTGTTTGTGGGTGTGGATGTGGGTGTTTGTGTGCGTGTGTGTGTTTCTGTTGGTGTCTATGCAGATAAATGTCCGTGTATCAAAATTCTAAATCAAACACAAAGAAATTAGAAATGCAACAAGCATTTGAAATATGCCAACTTTTTTCCTTTCAGTTCAGGCAGGGAGTTCGACAGAATGCCAGCCAATCCTGTTGCACCAGCTCCTTCAACCACACATTTTTCTACCTCAACCAAACGGAGGATGGATAGTGCAATAAATTCTTCTCTGAAATTTATTTTTACAATTTTTAAATCAGTTTGACCTCGATCGGTTAATGTGATTTTATTGAACTTTTAAAAAAATGTATGTAGGCCAAAAATAAGAAAAGAATAGCTTGTTTTTAAGGTGATCCAACATAAAAAAAAAATAAAAAATTCTAACGATATGACAATCGTCTTGTAAACGAGTGGCTTCAGCGTTTCGAATGCGTTAGTAGACAAGTAGAACAGCCAAGCCATCCGCCAATGTTGGGAAAACTTTCGTGTACGTAGGATGACCAGCTTTTATGGAAACAAACATCCCCGGACTTCTTTCGGATTCTACACCCTTAAAAAGTATTGTAAAAATCGACTAATTTTAATGTTTTGTATTAACTATGTTTTGTTATTATTATTATTGTAAATATTAATTTTATTTACTCTTATTTACTGGCTTTTTGAAAAGTTGTAAAAATAATATAATAACTAATCAAAACTTCAAAATTGTTGGAGTTTAGAAAATGTACGCGAGTTTGAAGATTGTTTAATGTTTATATTACTACAACTTTGAAAATATATACGCATTTTTATTTAGTCATTTTTTAAACATTGATTTACATTACAAAACCATTTTGTTTTTGAACACGTCGATTTCTTTAATAATAACGTATCATTTTTTAAGTTTAAATTAAAATTTAAAAACTTATGCTCGTCGAAGACGGAAAAATATAACAAAATAAATAACTAAAAAATTTTGACACTGGGCTTGAGTGACTTAACAGCCAGTGCCACACCAGCAATCAATCCACCCCTTCCTACTGGCACGACCACGGCATCCACATCTGGCACTTGCTCCACTATTTCTATGCCCATTGTTCCCTGGCCTGCTAGAATGTGAGGATGATTGTATCTGAAAAAAATAAGTTTTATATCTCAAATTTTTTAATGATTCAAGTTACAAATTTCAAAGCCGATGAATTCAAATTGTTGAACTCAAGTTCAAAAATAATTTATTAAATTAGAAATTTTTTAGCAATGTTTTTTTTAATTTTATAGATTTAAAAAGATTTGTTATAATTTTGAATAAGTGAGCAAGTCGAACATACTGGAGTAAGACACATGAAAGAATAGCGAGCACCTCTTTCCTTGAAACTTTATAAAATAAAAAATAATTAATTTTATTTTTGAAATTATTTGCAAGACCACAGCATAAGCGTAGAATCAAAATTCGATTAAAAAAATTTATTAACCCACCTGCCAGTATACTGCATGAAACCTTTCTTAAGGTACAGCTCCATGCCCAAGCTCTCAGATAAGCGAGATCTCTACAGAAATAATCTTTGAGTTAGTTTTGTTACACCGACGTTTTAATAAAAAGTGAAACAATTAAAAGTTGACTTATTTTTTATTCCCGTAACTAACATCACAGGGAGTTCGTTCAATCCCATTCTTTATCATAAATGCAGCAGCACTGATTTCTTGAAACTGTATTTTGATGGGATGATCCGGATCGCAGTAAAAATCTTTCATGTCATCTTCATCATATTCAAAATTTTCTTGTTTGGCTAAATCTTAAAGTAAACGTGCTATCGTTCGTCACAGTCCGAAATCAAATCGATGCAACAATAACATCGTAACATTTGATATTTCAGTTTAGGTTTAAAGAAACTTTAATGAAAATTTATAAATTTTATTTAATATTAATTTATAACAACATGTGTTTAAAAAAACAATTTATTCAATTCAAGTTATGGAAATAATTCTTGAAAAGATGAATCATCTCTTGGCAGAATTTCCTCATTTCACACCAACCTTCTAAGATGCTTTCAACTGATGCAAATTTTTTATCACAACCTTCAATTCCACCGCCGTTTAAAACGTTAACCGTGTTCATTTGATGAAATACAGAACTAGAAATAAAAAAAAAATAAAAATATTTCGGTAAAATAGAAAGTTTAAAACAACTTAGTAATTTATTATATTTTCAACGCATCTAAATTACCTACTTGATAATGACTATTCCCGTTACGTTAATATTGTTAAATCTTTTACTATTGTTAAACCTATTAATATGATTTCGAGTTTTGTTAAATAACAAGTAGAGTACCAACGATAACAATGATGTTATCTTGGTTTGCTAACAGCATCTTTTATAGATATTTGATGAATCTGTGATTAATAATAACTGCTCGGTTAAATACGCGTTAATTATTCACTTCCAATTAAGGATGAGTAACGATTGTCATTTAGTGGAGACTGTTTATTTTAATTGTACTATTATTTATTTGTTGCTGTTCTCGTTATTGTTATTATAATATTATTATTATTCTTGTTATTGTACAAACCTTTTAATTTTACTAGAACATAATTGCCTCATTTAAAACAACTAATCGTGAATAACTCTAACTGCTTAGCTCAATTAATTTCACTGTCATTTGAATTCGAATGTTGAAAATTCGTCAGAGTGGAGTCAGTTGGCTGACTGGCTGTACAACTTATCTTTCAATATAACAACTTAGCATATTGTACATAATCATTAACTAATAAATATTAATTAAACAAAATGATGAAAATATTGAAAACATGTTTTGTCAAAGTTAAACAAATTCATGTACTGTTTAAAACAGTTCGAACGTCAAAAGTTCATTATATACAGCGAGAAGGAGTCAATAAACGATAGTTGATTTCAACACAACTGATCATTCAGAGTAGAACGGAATTCGGTCGTCCAAAGTTGACGTAGTCATAATGCTGCCTCAACAGGTTTTCCAACTCCAAACAGTGTTCGTGATTTCTTGTTTCAACTATGCATTTCACCTTAAATTTATGAAAAAACTTGAAAATGTTCTTTGCTAATATTTTAAAATATAAAATAACCTACGTTACAAGAATAAATATCTGACTTGAGCCATGCTCTTTCATGGAATATATCTTTCAAGCTGATGAGAATTTTAGTGTTATAATTGGTTAGTTTAGCATAGCATTTAACGAAGACAATTTAACAAAAATATCAATAGTGTATTAAAAACTTGAAAAACACTTTTTTAGTACATTGAGAGTAAATTGTAAAACATTAAAACCTACCTAACACCAATACTCGATATAAGTCTGGTCAGTTGAGCGATTCCACCAGGCCTGTCACTGGCGGTCACTACAAATCTGCAGAGACGACCATCTGTGGCGAGGCCTCTCTCCAACACACGACCAAGCACCGCGGTGTCTATGTTACCCCCACTCACCACACACACAACCCTTCATTGTTATCATCATAACGTACGTGTTCAGTACGTGTTATATTTGAAACGAGTACATAAACATAAATTTTCAATTTAATAGCTAATGATTAATACAGATTTTTTTCAATGAAAACTTTAAAAGCCAACTTTTTTCCTTTAAGTTCGGGCATGGAATCCGACAGAATGCCAGCCAATCCAGTTGCACCAGCCCCTTCAACCACACACTTCTCCATCTCAACCAATCGCAGGATGGATAACGCAATAAATTCTTCGCTATAATAAGATAAGTATTAAAAAACTTTTTTACTGAAACAATTTATTCAAAGTAAATCGAACAAAGCCAAAATTAGTTCTTACGGTATGACGACCATTTTGTCAATCAGTGGTTTGAGGGTGGCGAAGGCATTCACTCCGATAACCGGTACTGCTAAACCTGTGAACGTGTTCATAATTGTGTATGCCCGTCAGAGCAAAAGCTAACTTTTAATAATATTAAATTGTTCTTCCACCTAACCATCAGCTAATGTAGGAAAAACTTTAGCATACGTGGGACGTTCCGCTTTCAAGGAGACAGACATTCCAGGACTTCTTTCGGATTCTACACCCTACAAATTTTAGTCATAAATTTTACAAATACTAATGACAATTATAATGTATGGCTGTTCCTCAAAAAATTAATCAATTAATCAAATTGAAATAAAAACTTAGTTAAATTCACGTGCATAAATTTTAACACTGGGCTTGAGTGACTTAACAGCCAGTGCCACACCAGCAATCAATCCACCCCCTCCCACTGGCACGACCACGGCATCCACATCTGGCACTTGCTCCACTATTTCTATGCCCATTGTTCCCTGGCCTGCCAGAATGTGAGGATGATCGTATCTGAAACAAATTATTTATTTATTCTTAAATTGTTTACAATAATTTTCATAAACCTGAAACAATGTTTGAAAAAATTCTAACCCATTTATATACATGATGTTGTACCTTTTGGAAACATGTATTGCATAATTTTTAGCCTGAAAATTATGAGAGGAACAAGTTGATGATGTCTCTAAAAGAAAACTTTAAAACTGAAAAAATCATGACAACATCAACCTCTCCAAAGTCCTGACCATGCACAACAACATTGGCGCCCAGCTGTTTGCAGAGTTCCTGTTTCATCAGAGGAGCAGTTTTCGGCATGACGACGATGACAGGAATGTTCAACTTGGATCCGTGATAAGCCAGTCCCAATGCATGGTTGCCTGCACTGGCTGCTATCACTCCAAGCTTTTTCTGTTCCTTATTTTTTGGCAGAGTACAACAATTCAATTTGTCTCAATAATGTAACAGCTAGTAATTAAATTTACTCAGATATAAAACCGTTATGTAATATTAGAAAATATTGACTGGTATTTTAGTCTTACTGATGATAGGCACATAAGGGTGTAACGAGCTCCTCTTTCTTTAAAACTGCATTAAAAAACATTGAAAATTGTTACAGCATTATTCTCTTATGTTGGAAAAAAAGTTTCAATTGTAACACAATTCTTAATTTTATGTTCATTAAAAGGATCAGTTGTTTAAAATCATAACAAACCATTTAGAAAACATTATAATGCCGTTGAAAATAAATTGTCATTTAAATATAAATTATGAAATCTTTACATTGTATGATGCAAAGCATAACTTTTGTAAGAAGTGTTTATAAATAATAACATATTGATAACCTTCCCGTGTACTGCATAAAATCTTTTTTCAAGTAAACTTCCATTCCAACTTGCTCTGACAATCTCGAGCGCTGGAGAAGTAATTTACAAAAAGTATTTGAAGTTATTCCAGTCATCTGAAACTTTAAATTTAAAATTAAGGATTGGTTTGTACATCAACTAACATCACAAGGGGTTCGTTCAATACCATTTTTAATCTTAAAGGCAGCAGCGCTGATTTCCTGGAACTGTATTTGAACGGGATGTTCCGGATCGCAGTATGGATCCTTCAAGTCATCCTCGTCATACTCCTCATCTTCGTCGTCCGTCTGTTGTTCTTGATTTGAAAGATCTGAATATTTTTATTTATTCACACGTTTTTACTTTAATTAAATATCAAAATTTCTTGAAAAATCTCAACCTAGAATATCAAACAAAACAAAATAAAAATCACAACGAACTGTATAATTGAGGGTTATATTAATTTAATAAATTTTTCTTCAGTATAAATATACAAACTATCCCAAAATAGAAACTTTAATATTTAAAAAATTTGTTCACACATCCTATAAATCAAACATCTGACATGTGCCAAATAATTTTAGGTTGGCGAGTTAGCTCAGTCGGTAGAAGTGTCGTGTCTTGAACTCTTATTACGCAATAGGCTGTTTCGAACGCTGTCTGTCCACATTATAAATCATAACAGGCGCGTGTTTTTATATGGTATGGGTAGTAAAGACTATATGGCACGAAAGTTATACACCTGAATGATATTTAACGAGCTCTGCGTATGTCAGAGCTGCTTAATAAAGAACGAAAAAGTGTTTTTCCTGTTAACAATTAAACATTAATATAGTTAACATTATATTAAAATTAGAAAAATACATTTGAAAAACCTTTAATGATTTCTTCGAAGGACATGATCGGAATTTGGAGATCAAATTTTTGATCTAAGGGTCTTTCAGGAAGAAAGTCCGCAATCTTTGTGAAGGTCTCCATCTCCCAACTGACTGAAAATTTATTACATTTTATTATTGAGAATTATGAAATGATGTTTTGTCGAAAGTTATTTTTGTTGAAAGTGATTTTTTTTGACGAAATATTTACAATGCCATTTTTATCTACTAACACAAATGTTGAATTTTCTAAACTCTTATTATTAATTATAATTATTAAAAAAGATGATTCGCCTTATTTTGAATGTTTGTATCTTATATTTGGATATCTCACTCCTTTTATAGAAGACACAACCAACAACAAACATTCTTTACTTGTTCATCTGTTATTCACTAGCAAGTATAAATATGTGTATATATTAGTATATTAATACAGACATATATATGAAGTGTGGTGTGTGTGTGTCTGAGTGTGTAGTGGGTGTGCGTGTGTGTGTGTGTGTTGTATGTTTATGTGTGTGTGTGTGTGTGTGTGTGTGTGTGTGTGTGTGTGTGTGTGTCTGTGAGTGTAGTGTGTGTCTTGTGTTTCAGCTCTGACACACTGCGTTCAAAATTCAATGTAACCTTTCATCTATATAAGCCTCCGTACAAATGAACTTAACTACCATCTGGTTTGATTTGTTTAAGAATGCAATGTTCCCGCGTAATGTACTCTAGAATTGATAATAATGGAAAACTTTATAAAACCAAACTGTTTCATTTTATTTATATAGGGATTCAGGTGTTAAATTGAAAAAAGTTATAACTAATAATATTGCTCTAAACTAATAAGCTGATTAGAAACTGGAAAAGACATTTCTGACACGTGCATCATTCAAGTTTACAAGGCATGAGATTCTACACATCGTATTTATATTTAATGATAGTTTTCATTCCATGCATATGTGTTTTATGGTATTATTTTTTCTTTCATTGTCATGTAATTCCATAAATTTTGACAATAATTTTTGTTTATCATTGCGTATTATTGCTATCTATAGGTGTTTGTCAAAGTGTGATTTTTTTAAATATAATATTTATTATTCATCCCGCGAACAAACTTGCGAAAAATAATTCAAAGTCACTGAAAAAAACAACACTTTTAAATGTCTCCTTTCGTAATTTTTAAAAATTATGAGAATTCTTTAAGTAGAGGTCGTTTGACAAGTAGTAAAGGAGAATGCATGTTGTTAGTTCGAAGGAATAAAGGTTACTAAGTCATTTTTGTGTGATACTGAGGAATGTTCATGTTTAAAGGCTTGTATAGGATCACATGTAGTGTTAACGTGTTAACATGAAGATGAATTATGGAAGAGGAAGAAAAATACAGTGATGTGAAAATTTTGCCAACAAATAAAAACTGATAAGGGTATTTTTAATAAATTTTCAACAACACCTCACGATATTCTCTGAATTGTAAACAAATCAAACGGTTTTGTATCAAAGTTTGCTAATGTTCGAAGTGCATTTTATGTTCATCTCATCAGAAGATGTAAACAAATTAATGAATGAGCATATAGTAAAAAATTCATCAACATTTTATACATAGCAAAAATATTAACGCTTATTTCAATTAATCTATTTTATTGATTAAAAGTTGCAGAAGATGTCATAAGCTTTTTCGATAAAAATGACAAAAACCACTAAAAATCTGGACGCTATTTTATAAGCAAACCAAATTTAAATGGAATACAATACAAATTTCAATACAAAAAACTTATTGTAACGGCGATTTTTTATGTATTTGTTCTATATTCAAAAGATTCACTTCAGTTATATTTGGAATTCCATCTTCTTCATATTATCTAATATTATCTATCCAACGCAGAACATGTGTCAACGTTGATCACATCATCAAAGATTTGAAATCTAGTTAATTAGCATTTGTTAAATAAATATTTGAAAATGTTGTAACACTTATCAGGTATTTTCATACGCAAGCAATTTCAATGGCGATAAGATCATATATTTTGCGTTGGGCAGAGACGACAGGAATCAGTATATCATAAAGGGCGTCATTAATAGTAATTAATTAATATTTTAGTAATTTTTTATGTATCACTTTGAGAGTAAGAAAATATAATGAAGTTAAAAATTGCAACAATTGCAAAAAATTGCAACAATTGCCAAAGGGTGTGCGTGTGTGTGTTGTATGTTTATGTGTGTGTGTGTGTCTGTGAGTGTAGTGTGTGTCTTGTGTTTCAGCTCTGACACACTGCGTTCAAAATTCAATGTAACCTTTCATCTATATAAGCCTTTTTATCTTTATATAAGTCTTAAAATTTTTCCAGATAAATAAATTTTTATCAGTCATAAAACTGAAATACGTTAGTTAGCCCAGCATTGGAGGGATGTTTGATAAGTTGACAATAAGCGTTTGCAGATTTAAGCATGAGTTCGTGAAAAGCGTCACAGCACTGACACCAACAAAGAAATATCCTTTTGTAAAACACAACTGAAGTAAAATTATAAATCAATATTGTCGTAAGTCACTTAGGATTTTAAATTCTAAATGTACATCTACGTTCTATCAGCAACTGAGCAACTCCCTGTTGCAGTCCCACACTCACGGTCAGAAATGATATTGTGAGTAAAGACCGTACAAACTGTTTGTACTTAATTTAAAATGTTTTCCTTAACACACTGACATGGCCGCACTCAATGAATCGTAAGTTAACGCTATAAAAAAAATCCAACAAGCAATACAGAAGTTAGGAATCAATCCATTCCACACCGCTCATTTTATGGTGTGTGTGCTTAGTTAGGCTAGTAAAAACCATGGACCTTTCAATTGCATTGTATTCTAAGTATATGATTGTAAGCAGCTCAAAAGAACTTTGCATGAAATGTTAACATCTGAGTTTTCAAGTGCCGGTAACGATGACGACAAATTTACACTTCCATGCGTCACCAAGAACGCCCGAAAAACTCTACCACTAAGAAAGGATTACATCTAAGCACTATAAGATATGAATCTAAACGACTTTCATTAACGTTTGTTGTAATTTTACACGAAAAACGATAACAAATTACTTTAGATTGAAATTAGGTAGAGAAAATGTCCAGACTTTTTTTTACAAGCAGCAATCAATAAGCTTATGCAAATAAGAGTTCAATATAACAAGTTAGAAGACATTTAAAAGACATTTATGATTGTAAAAAATTATTTAGGTGGAGAAACAGATGCCTGTTCATTTAAGCTGACAAGTGACAGATCGGTCCACTTTTGCTCCTGCTCTTTCAATGTTTCCTGAGTGTTGCCATTCTCATTTTCCAACTCTGGCAGCTCCATGATAGGTACAACCACGTCGTCGTTTGGCAAGGTGTCTTTCAACCAATCCTGATCCACGATGTCAATCAGTAATCTGCGTCGTGTGATCTGGCTGTCCATACTGATATGTGCACTAGTTAAAAAATGTATTAAATAAATTAAGATATTTTAATTTTATTAATTTTAATCTTTTTAATTTTAATCATAGAAAATAGTAAACATTCAGGATATGAAAACAAATTTAACAACAAAATAATTTTCATATCCAATTTAAAGTATCTAATTTTGTTATATTTGGTTATTGAACATTTCACACCACCATGAAATTGTCCTCTCCCTACATTTATAACCCTAACACAGGCCATCTTCAAGTAATTGATAATATTAGAATTAGCTCCTAAATCTCTATATTAGCTTTTTCATATGTCAGTCTAAAGATACTGAGTCAAGAAGATACAAAATAAGGCCAGAAAATGTCAAGGTCCTCATGCCATGATTTAACCAGTTAAAGCAAGATTCTGACAAGTTTCCTTCTCTATCCTTGTTTTTAAAAAGAATGCCCCATGTTCACTTATGTACAAGTCTATAATCATTTATTTTACTTATACAGCACGTATTACATGCCATTGTAAGCTATACTATAATGCAAATGTGTTCATAATTATAAGAACAATAACATAATTTATTTACTATTAAATTTGAATAAACTTTAAAGTTCTCTTTTACTTTTGTTAAGTTAAACTAAATAAAGGTTCGACTTTTGAAAGAATAAAAAGATGCTATTTTAATTTTAGCCATTAGATCAGGTTTGTTAGAGAGTTAATAACTTAATAAGCTATCATGCTGCCCAAAACTAAAATTTTTTCTTTGGCTATCAACTTAAAAAATTAAATTTAAAAATATCAACTGATTTCAGATTTACATACAAACAGCAGAGTCAAATACAAATCATAAAAAAACATGATAGCTGTTTTAGTTTAATTGGCAAAAATTAGTAAGTTAGTTAAGAAAGTTGTTAGTTAAAATGTATAAAAAAGAAAAAACTATACAAATAAAAAAGTAAGCAAAAAGACTGAGTAAAGAAAGAATAGAGAAAAACGAAGACGGAAGAGCAAACAAGGAGGGTCCGTCGGAACCAACCGAGTTGAAAAACAGAAAAAAGTAATTAGTAACCTCATAGAGAAAGAATAAATAAAAAAAATTATATTATAAAAAAAGACAAACCAGGCTTTTTTTTATTTTTAATAATGTGTAAAAAAATGTTAGTTAGGCAGTCACAAATTTTAATTCACTTATTAATTCACAATTTATAGTAAATATTTATATTCACTAATTTAATTCACTGAAAATTAATTAATTAATTTAATTATTTATTATTATTCAGAACATATATTTTCATGTTCACATTCCGAACTAATTATATTAACATTATTGATCTAACTAAATAAGCAAACCAAAAATGAACAAAGTTAAAAATGTATAGAAAGTCTCAGTTATTTTCAAGGTTACTTAGAATATATTGATGACAAAAATACAAAATTTTGTTATAAAACAATTAAATTATATTTAATAAATGGTTATACATTACCACACAAAGTTGGTAAAGCTAAGATTATCAAACGATTATCGAATGACGATTTTTAAAGCCTAAAAGGGGATTTTAAAAAACTAATTCTTGTCTGGGAAATTTGAACGGAAAAAAAATTGCGCACGTATGGTAACCTATTGAGAGTGATTATTATCATTATAACAATTAGTTTAAGTTCAAATTTCTCACATGGTACGTCCAAAGAAGTTTACTCTAATTGCTCCGCTTGTCAAAAGATTCACAAGAAAGACCCAGGGCATAAAGATGGCCTATTAGAGCTTAAACGCCGCAAGACTGCAGAAAAAGAAGTTTACTCCACCCTCCTTTTATTACCTAAACGAGTTTTGAATTTTTTCTAAATAGAAAATTTGTAAATGTATTCCAGAGATAAGGAACGAAAAAAAAACAGACAAAAATGAAAAACAGTCTTAAAGAAGTTTTTAATCAAGGTAATTAATTAAGTAATGAAAAATAATGAAAATTATACCTTTTAGTTCCATACGCTCATGTTCTGATTTCAAATCTCTATCAGCAGTCTTACTTCTCTAAAAATTTCTATTAAATAAGCAGAAAAGTTAAATTAACTCTGCTTAATTGTTGTTGTTACTGTTCATTTTTCATTCAACATATATATAAATGCTTTGTTCAATTTAGTCTTAACCTTAGGTAACTTCTATTCCGGGAAGCTTTAATTTCTGCTGCAGCAAGAAGGAATGAAGACATTTACAACGTGACTGCAGCAATATTTTTGTTTCTAATTTATCAATTTAGTTATTGTAATGCGTTTAAGTTTTAACCCAACTGAAAAATATATACTGAAACAACAATTACTGATTACGTAACCAACAAAAACATTTATATCTACCAATAAAAGATAACACGAGCTCTAAAATTCAACTACATAAGCGTTTTAGTTGTTGACGGCGCATGAAAATAATTGATGAAAATTCTTTTCTTCAAAATTGTTAACATTAATATGAACGGTTTTTAAACGGTTTTTTCTTTTTTGTCATTTAAACAGGCAAAAAGTAGATGTTTTCACAATTACATGAACGTGCAAAGCAAAATAAATTCAACATCAATCATTGATCATGAACAAATAAAGTTATAAAATTTTTAAAATGGATTACTTATAAATATAAAAATACAAAGTAAAGGCACTAAATAAGATTCATAAAGAAATTTTTAATTTACAAAACAATGAAATAAATTTTTCAACGTATATCCTTTTTGACCTTTTGATATGTTTATATTTTTACAATCTTGTTGGTACAACTGTTCAACTAAATTATTTGGCTCGTTGTGTTGGAAGTCTGTTGAATTTTGGCTGTCGTTCTGACTAGCCCATAGTCTTGATTTGCATTTGTATTTTTTGCATCGTATGCTGGAAAGGCCTCGTCTTTTTTTGAGGAAGCCTCGACGGTGAAGTGCTGCAAAAATGGCCATATCAAAGACTTCCTTGACTGCTTGTTGGCGCTCATCATTGCAGTTGTCATTGGTTGGCTCACTTTTTACGTCGCTATCCTTTCTTTCGTTTGCAAATTCGTTTGACTGAGTAGAACAACATTCGACGTAACCTACGAAGCACGGCGATGAATTGGCGAGATTTTGTGCCATTTTGGTTGAAACGAAGTCATGTTGATTGCTCGTTTCTTCATTTCTTCGGTCGGTTTGCAACCCAACTAATACAACTGGGCTGTCAGGTGAGCACCTGTTCACTTCCGGTAGCCATTTTGTTTTGATGTTCTCAAATGATTGTAAGTCGGCGGTGCTGAAACAAAGCAGGAAAACATCCGTTGAGGAAAACCAAACACTTCTCAATGAGGCCAGGTCATCCTGAAATAATTAAAATAATTAATTAATTAATTAATTAATTAATTAATTAATTAATTAATAGATAAATATATATGAAGGACACTGCTTGCTACTTGTTTAATACCATCAAAACTGCTAGTAACTTTCCCTACAATTAGCATCAAGCAATACAAAATTTTTGGTGGAATAAAATGTTTAATGAAATAATTGGTAGAAGAGACTGCTAAACTTTAAAACTGCACAATTAACTTTAACAGGCATTTTGAATTTGGATCCGGATTCGTCCGAATGCTTTTTATCCGTTCAATTTATATAGGCTCGGGTATTTTTATCTTATACATTCATTTCTTTATTCATTCATTTATTCATCATTTTCTCTCATTCATTCATTCATCCATCTATCCATTTTTTATTTAATTTGCTTTGAAACACTTAAGTCTTCAACAAACGAAACAAAAAGATTACGAAGAAAAAATGTTATGCAGCACATTTTCATACATATGATGATGATGATGATGATATTGATGATGATGATGATGATGATGATGATGATGATGATGATGATGATGATGATGATGATGATGATGATGATGATGATGATGATGATGATGATGACGGTTAAGATGATGATGACGGTTAAGATGATGACGGTTGTGATGATGATCTTTGTTTTGAGATCTACGATGATGAAGGCACAGTATCAGCGTTTCAAAAACAACAGCCATAAATTTTTATTTTTAGAAAACAATGAAAACAAAGCATTTAATGAAACGTCTGCCTGCGTTAGTCATCACCACCCTTGACCTTACCATCAGAGCGTTCATTTTAGCTCCGTTGCCATATTCTTTTTATTATTCTTATAAACTCAGATTTTATATTTAACATTTTCATTATGTTGAAGCACTTAGCAATTCAATCCGTTAGCCAATATTCATTCAGCTACAAGAACCCTAGAGCTCTTCAATATTTGTCTTAGGTTTCCAAAACAATATCCGTAACACTTTGATGTTTGCCGCTTATGTTATATCATCATCGTCATTATTATTATTATTATTATTGTTGTTGTTGTTATTATTATTATTATTAATAATAATATTGTTGTTGTTGTTATTGTTATTATTGTTATTACTACTACTACTACTTCTTCTAGCAATATTATTATAATGATTTTATCCGTCCATCTTACTCACTTTGCCAACTCAATAGATAAATCAATGAACTAAGTAACATTCTTGCATATGTATATAAATATATATACATATATCTATATATATATATATATATATATATATATATATACATATTTTATAAAGACTGGAAGGAGACCATAATTGATGCAATATTTAACAAAATCCACCGAATTTTTAGCTTATGAAAGTTTTTGGTTGAGCTTTTCAATATTTCCAACACTAATTTTATAATTATTATCCAATTATCCAATTTATTAAATTTAATTAGAAAATAGATAGTGTTCATGATGAAGCGTATTGGTCCTATTTCTATTTTACTCATCATAAGCTCTCATATAGAGATATTAAAATTAATAAGAAATAGAACTTTTCATTTTAAGTCAACTATCGACTTTCCTTAAATTTTTTCAGTTGGGCTAAAATTTGGATTGGGACTTCTGAAGCTAACTTTTACCTATCACCACGAGAGCAATTTTTGTTAGGACGTTGTTGTTGCTTCTTATCTAATGTATGTTGTGTGTTGTCGACGTGAAACAAACGTGTTGATGCTCTTAATGTTGGTGATTCATTGTATTTGGAACATTATCATGAATTGAAGTGTCACTTGTTGTTCTGAAGATTATTTAATTGTGTAATATTAAACCGAAGCTCAATTAAAATCGCAAATTCGATTTAAAAAACACTTTTAGTTTTAATTTCATTTTTTAATTAATTAGATTTAAATAAACTTTAAAAACAAAACTGCTTAGTTTCTGCTTCAACATTCAGTTTCACTTATTTCGATTATAGAGAAGAAGTTTGGGACTAAAAAATAGCAATGTCGAAAGACGGCTGCACTGAATGAAAGTTGAAAAACCCTCTGAAGTTTATATTGATCGTACTCCAACATCTGTTCCTTTTCTAACTTGAAATTTTGCACAAAATTCATCGCATAAATGTCGGCTGGAAAGCATTTCTAATTTTATACAAAATTCAGACTTTAAAATATGTTTGTAGTGATTCAGTACAGAAAACATCAGTTTAATAAATGACTTCATGGCAAATCCTTAAGCTATGAATCCAAGTCAGCACTGTTGAGACTTTGTAACTAAATCTAAAGTTGCTGGCAAACAATTTAATGTGTTTTTAATGTCCCGGCCAAAATAAATAACAACATGACACATCATTTCTTCATTTTATATTTCAATGCAATTTTCAGGTTAAATTTCATTCAACTGTAATGTTCAAGTGAAATAACATTTGATAACAATTATATATAACAAAAACAGACTGACTAGACTGAATTGAAAATTATTTGTATCATCGCTAACGCTACTGAAGCCAATCTATATTTCACCATTCAATTTAAGTATTATTTTTGGTGTGCTGGACACAAAAAAATTATTTTGGTGATTCTAAAATTTTCTGTTGCACTTGAATTATATAATAATTTTTACTAAAATTACTCATTAAACACTTCGCACTGTCCTGAAGATACTAAAGATATATTCGATAAGAAAACTGTTTTACAACAAATGTACTCTTATAACAATTGCAACAAACAAAACCTCGATCATTCACCACAACACACGTAAAACTCATCAGCACTACTAATCCTAACAACAATAGCAGTTGAGAGATATTCTCACGACGCGACGAAACGCAATATTACACTGTTTAAATAAAATTTATAATTGAATACAAACAATGTGTCCGTTGTTGCCAATGCAGTTTTGTGAGCTGTGATGTTGTTTGCGAGGTCTTTGTTGGAATTACTTGAAAGTTTTGTTGTTCAAAACAAATGATTGTTTTAAATACAGGGACAAACATGGAGAGGATTAAAGAGTATCTTGCGGCTGTTTTTTATGCAACGTATTTGTTATTGCTGTAAAATTTCATGATGTTTTCAACTAGTATATTGCAATTGTGATCTGGTAATTGTGATTTCTTGTAAAAATGATTAATAAAATTTTATTGCTTATTATATTGCATAAAATCCACGAACACAACAAGGACACTTGTGAATTTTCGACGAAATGTTTGCGTTATTTACGATGATGACATAAAATTAAAACAGCAGCACTTGATTTTATGGTATCGCTGTATAATAACGTTATTGTTATTCTTGTAATGTAACCGTTACATTGAACCATTATAGAATCATTGTAATTCCTGTTAATGTGTGACAATAAGCGTTATTAATGTATTGTAATTCATTTTAATATTAAGACCATTAAAAGCAAACACCGAATGTTATTGAATGGATTACAAAGAAAAGTTATTTCCTTTTGACAGAGCGTAAGGACGAAGAATGAGTCCACTTTAGCGAACATTGTCAGTTGGCTGGTTCTGGTTGTTTTAATACGCTTCTACTTACTACTACTGCAACTTTTATGTTGTTCCTCTTACGTTTTTCTCAGTCTTCTAAAAGGGATTACTCAATCATCAACATGTTAGTTGACTCGTAGAAAAGCAGAGACAATCTAGCACAAGGCAGGCAGCCAACTGTGCAACGAACAGTCGAACCACTATAAACAAACAAAACAACACGTATCATTGTGTTGGCGTGTTTATGTTGATGTGCGCTTGTACTTGTGTATGTTTGTGCATACGATTGTACGTCTGCTTATGTGTTTATAGAAGTAGTTTGCATAGTCTGGCTGGATGTGGCACATTTGTATTGACGCGTCAATCGATGAAGGAAAAATAATTATTTGGTTGTGATGAGAGATGTTGTTGCGTTGTTGTGTTGTATCGATGCTTCTAATCTGTGTGTGTGTGAGTGTGTGTGTATGAGTGAATGTCTTGTTTGATGCATCAAACACAATACACATATGCCCCAATGTTTATACAAACAGACAAACAAACATGCGATTATTATTTATTGCACGATGATTTTCAATGAGCAGACTGGCTAGGTACGATGGGAAGATGTGGGAAGTGAGGATATTGTCCTTAATTAGCATCTAATCAACATGCAGATGATGCTGGGAATGGAATTAATTACGCAGGCGACGTTGCACTGCACCGGTCTAATTGATGTTAGTTATTAATTATTATTATTTTTTTCATTTATTCTTTTATTAATTGTTTTTGTCTGTTAATTGTTAAGTTTTTTGATATTTATTAATGTCTGGATGTTTGTTATTAGGTTTGAATAATTCAGTTGTTGTTGTTTTTATGAACTGAAAGATTGAATTCGGGGAACGATCGGTTGCCATTATTAGCCATTTTTTTTCATTTCACGTTTAACCGATGAGGATTGCAGTGTTTGTATTATTAATATTATGAAAATAAAAGATTTCTGTGAAATTTATAATTTTAACAAAACAAACATTAAACAAATTACATATTAATAATGTGCAATCAACCATTTCAAATACTTTCGTCGATTGTTAATGAATTAAAATTTAATAAAGGGATAATTAGATGGCAGTTGGGCCCACATGTGCTTCTGCTGGTTTACTAGCATATCTGATCAATAACTGAGGGGGGAGTGCTTTTTGTTTTATGTGCTCTATGAAATGTTTGTGTGTGTGCGAGTGTGTGTTTGTGGTATGTGTGGTGTGTGTAGTGCGTGTGTGTGTGCGTGTATTTAATTTTTTTAATTATTTACCCATTCAAACAATTTGTTTTATCGAGTTATTTTAAGTTTGTTACAATTATTTTGTTCGTGTGCCTATTAAAGAAACAAACAGGTTTCGTATTTCAATTTTAATTGAAATTTTCAAATTTGCGCAACGAAAACCATTTTAATTACTCTTCCAATCATAGAAGGAGTACAGGTGTTTGCTTTATTTTAGAAGTGTGATACGAAGTTTCATTTTTTAATATAAAAATCAGACGTGGAATAAATATTTGAAAAAGAAAATGGTTCAAATATGACAAACGTTTATTGATTTTAAACACGAAATTTTCAAATTCCTAGCTAATGACAGAAATCAAAAGCTTTAATTGGTCTACTAAAATTATCAGTCCTTCAAAACCTTCATGATATTCACTGAATGACATCAACGTTTGTCCTATACAAGGTAACCAAAAGGACTCGTCAAATTGATATATTGAAAAATTTAGGCGAACGTACCCTTTGTACACGTATGTTGATGTTGAATACTCATACGTTTGTGTGGCATTGACTTGCATTTCGAAGAATGTTTTTGAATTCGAAAAAAATGGTAGATGAAGAGCAAAAATGATGCAGTGTATGCAACCTTTCAATTTTCCAGTTCAAATATGTCCCACTGTTTTTTTACTGTTTTCATTGCTTATTTTTAAAATATTTAAAAAAACAATCAGAAATTCGCTTTTGTAATAAAATATTCAACATAAGTTGATCAACAATTGGGGATTGTTTGAGGCCAAAAATGTTTTGTCTCCTCTGACTCGGGCCCATATGAATATATGTGTATTATATTATGTTATACACATGTGTGACTATGACTTCACGTGCGTGCTGCGTTGTTGTCAGACATAAATAAGTTAGTAATGTTCGGAACAATCTACTATTTGATTTTGGGAGAAACTTCGCGAACATGTTCACGAAAAAAAAACTTTTGAATGAAAAAATACAAAAATAAAAATGATAAATGTGGATCATTTGGAGTCAAATAGAGAAGGGGAATGTGTGAGTGAGTGAGTAAATGTGTGAATGAGTGGACGAATGAATGAGAAGATTGAGATGCTGAGATTTTAATGAGATGCAACTGCTGGTATCAATACATTTGCCAAGATTATTCATCACAGCTCATGTGACCGAGTACATATCATGATGACGTGATGATGATTGTGAAGATGATGGTGATGATTGTGAGGAGGAATTTGACGATGGTGATGACGTCTATAATTGATTTTGTAAAAAGTTTCATTAATGCTATAATCGATTTTGTAAAGATTTAATTAATATCGCGTTAAAACTAGCTATATAATACTACGAAAATACTAACAATTTATTTTATAATAATAGCGACATTGTTTAAAAGATATAATTAATATTAGATTATATATATATATAACAAACTTGCATGTATGAAAAAAAATTTCATAAATTGACACGCGAAATTTTTATCTTAATATGTTTGTTGTTTTGTTGAATGCAAACGTGTTAATGATTCTTCTGCCACATGATTGATTGATGTCTGATATTAACATCTCCGCTTATGTTGCAATAAAATGGAAATATTTTCATTTTTCCAAATAGTTATTTTAATACTGTTATTATTACTATTATTATTATTATTGTTGTTGTTGTTTTTATTATTTTTATAAATATTTTATATTATTAATAATATGATACGATGTTGTTGTTGTTGTTGTTGCTGTTACGAGTGAAACCCACGTTGAGTGTAACAGCTAGTAACACTAAGCAATGATAACAAAGTGATGGAGACGATGAAAACGAGGATGGTGAAAAAGATGATGATGATGAAGATGAAATTGATAATGATGATGACGACGATGATGATAATGAAAAAGATGATAATGATGATGATGATAATGATGAAGAAGAAGAAGAAGATGATGATGATGATGATGATGATGAAGATGATGATGATGGCGATGATGATGATGGTGATGATGGTGGTGGTGATAATGATGATTAAAGATTTATAAAAAACAAAACCAATAAAACTATCGGTGTCTCGAAAATATGACATCATCTTATCTCCATCATATTTTTATCAGTCTCATCACCTTGACATAACCAGACGTACATCATTCATTTCAAGCTTTCATTGGATCTGGCGTTTTATCTGCTGTTTCACTTGTGTTTGTGTTGTGGAATGCTTGTGTGTGTGTGCGTGTGCGCGTGTTTACATTCACTAAGTATTTTTGATAATCAACCAGACATCATTCATGAAGCGCTGAATATTCTACCATTGACGTAGATAAAAATAAACAAAGAGTTGATAGCATCTTGATAGACAGCAGATGTGTTTGTACAGACAAAAGTGTTGATGTATTAATTTGAAATAAATAGATTTTTTCTCCTGTTTTTCCAACAGATAGATATATATATATACACACACAAACACACACACACACAACCGATACACAGATGTAAACATGTCAATTAATATAAGTAGTGCTTGATGTAATGTGTTTATACGCCGACAAGATAAATCAATCAACGTTAATTTCGTTGGAAACGACTTATGATATGTTGCGGAATGATTTTTTATACGCAAAGATGCACGCATATGTTCTTTCCTCTACATTAACACATTCTCCAAATAACTTCTCTCAGATCTATTTTTTCAACATCGTGATCATTTAATCAAGCTATAAGTGTAGAAGAAGCTGCGTTACTTTTAAGACTAATTAATACATTAGTAATTATGATAGATAATAATAATAATAATAATGCGTAAGAATAATAATTATTAAGATTATTATTAGTTGTAAAAGTATTAGTAGTAGTCGCAGTAGATGTAGTAGTAGTAGTAGTAGTGGTGGAGGTAGTAGTAGTAGTGGTGGTGGTGGTGGTGGTGGTGGTGGTGATGGTGATGATGGTGGAAAAAGTAGTAGTAGTAATAGTGGTACTGGTGGTGGTAGTAGTAGCAACAGCAACCACAACACTAGTAGTAATAGTTAATATGTCGTATAATACTTATAGCAAGAAGTATTTTTACTTCAAAAAAAGAACTACCAGCAAAGCTAAATAGAGATATATTTCTTCACCTACACCAATCGACAGACATCATGCAGACAGTTTTGTTATATTATTCAAATAAATTAAAACTCTAAAGGAACGATCATGATATAGATACAATATCAACAATTCTTGTGAATATTTTAACTTAAAAATCAACAAAAATGCAAATAATAATTAACAAATAAAGGTAAAAGAATACAGACGAAAGAAAGCAAGAGGTGTAAATGTTTAAGGCACCATGACTTAGTTCGATTGCAAACAGAGATTCCCGCTCATCAAGTGCAAAAAGTGTGTGATGCTTTGATTCACATGTGTTTGCATACAATATGTATTTGCATACACTGTGTGTTTCTTGTTGGTACCTCTAAGAAATGCTGAAAGAGAATTGTTAAAAAAAAATGAAGCAACCAACCTGGCCAGACGTGTCGCAGATCTGCACTTTGATCGGCTTCTTTTCCACCGTCACGTCAACTAGACAGCAAATATATTTATATTATTATTATTATTATTATTGTTGTTGTTATTAATATTAATGCTTTAAAATTAATTTACTATTTATACTACAAAATATTATGAAAGATGTATAGTTTAAGCGAACGCAATTATCACGTCATGCTTGCAGAATCAAACATAAAAGCATGGAGTTTGGTCGTTTAAATCTATTTGTCATATAAATATTAATATCTTGGAATAAATTTTTAAAACTTTTATTAGCATAACAGAATTATTTGAAAAAAAAAATCAGACGAACTGCACTGAAGTGACATGGGAGTGGAACTTGGCGTTGATGAAAATATGTAAATAATATGCAAGTCCTCATCGTTTCAAGTGCTTCACACAACAATATTTCTTCAGAGACTGTTCGTCTAACATTGTTATATTATTATGAATACTGCGATTGTATGTTAATGCAGCAACTACGTATTGAATGTATGCTACTTTCTTTCCAAGTAGCACACTCAGAATTTGTTCCTTTTGCAAGAAAACAAACTTAACATAAAAGTTAGTGTAAAGAAATTGTAAAGCTGTTTAGTATCATAAGGTAAATAAAAATTGAATCTGTAGTGTTGTGATAGTGAATGATCGAATCATAAAACTTCTTCAGACAAAAATGAGATTAATTCAATTTGACTGATCACTTTATGCCTAAGTAGGGCAAGGAGCAATCATTCTGGCTAGTTATACGTGATAAAATATGACTGACGCAGTAGCTTTAGGCAGGCTTGTACTACCACTCATATTGTTTGTAAGTACGCATACAGGCAGAAACACATAATATAACCACACATACATTCATAACCACATATACATGTATACACATACACTATACACACACACACACACACACACACACACACACACACTTGCATACGCATATTTATACACGCACGTGTTCATGCAAGTTATAACAGTTCAAATACAATTTGGTGTTTGTGATTTGTTGATACAAAAAAAATTTAACTCATTGTTGGTAACAGAACGTGACTCAATGTTTCGTAATAAATAATCTCTGCGTTCATTTCGTTACGTTACGAGTGTTGGATGGTTGAATGTGATTGCATGAGTTGCGCTGTGTCGTCGTGCACACATCTGTCGTCATCCTCTAAATCAGTTCGATTTGTTTGCTATTCAAACTGCTATCAATTGTTAGTTTGCATAGTTAGTTAGCATAGCACAACGGCACAATAATGTACGCGAAAAAGTCTTCGAATATTCAACAAAAGGGCAGTCACTTTTAACGCACTGCAGTTCAACAAAACTTGAGTCACGCATTAACTAAATAAAAAACACACGTGCATATAAACACATACACATATAGGCATCTTTACAAACACACACACACACACTTAAGCAAAGTCGCACGCAAATACACAATACATGAAACTTGCATTAAGAGTCAGTTCAGTTATGAATAGGAGAAAGAACGATGAAATGGAGCAGATGCGCTGAAGATTTCATAAAATCATCTTAAAGATCTAACCAGTATTTTCCGAGCCGTTTGGTGTGTGTGTGTTTCAATCAGTGTATAGAAAGTGTGCTTGTGAATCATTTCTGACTAAATAGAAATGTGAGTGTACTCATGTGCATGTGCGTGTGTTAATGAATACACTTGATTTTTCGGTCGTGAAAAGTATGCAGTTTTATAATGAACTGAACAAACTTTTATCACATTAATAATCTTTCTATGAAATCAATAGAGTGATCAGATCACCCTACATGTCTACATATGTTTAATAGTTCGTTACTAAATAACAATCAGCACTTCAATCAACATTACTGTATGCACTCGAGACATAATTATAACCTCTTCGAAGTTTTCATAGCCAAGGCAGGCAAGTAGGACGATATAACTTGCTCGTTTCGTAACAACTTACCAGCACTTATTATAGAGTAAACATAAGTAATTGTCTCATGTTACTTCAGAAGCAATTGTATCCGACCGAACGAATATTCGGAAATACTTGTTCATCGTTATTCGCTAAGATATTCGTTAACCGTCGAATAGTTTGCAATTTATTGATGACAATCAACGTGTAACAAGTGACACACAGTAACAGTTTGTCACCAGGTTGATTCTTTCACGTTTCATTCATCCAAAGTTGCTCAACCTACGTGATTAGGCAGACAGACACACACACACACGATTTTGATATATCGAAGTTGGTATACATCTTAGTATATTACGTATATTCTTATTACGAAAGGCTTTTCATAAGTTCGGTTAACAAGAATAAATCATTACGTAATTATTCATAAGTTAACCAGCGACATACAGCACTAGTTAAAATATGAATTTAAACATCAGCACGGTCAAACAAGCATGAGCTAAATGAGCTATCAACATAAATCAAGCTGTCGAACTAGTCTGACAAACAAACACAAAGTTAGGCTGCCAATGAGTTGGCCAGGCAAAAATGGCACCAAACAGAAAACACTTCTTAGCCAAACATTTATATTTAATGATTCAGGCGGGGGGTTTTATTTAATCTCACCTCTTACCACATGTCTCCACGCCTAACTAACTATTGCGTCAATTTGCTTTCAACCACAGATCTCATTTCGGGGTAAACAATCTTTTGTTCAATTGTGAGTTACATCACGTAGCATTTTTCCCCGTGCACCCATAACCATTTTCACAATCTTCTTATACAATATTTCCATAAACCTTGTCCGAACATCAACATTGTTAAAACCATCCTCTTACTTAGCATTACCATCAGACTCATCACTTTTAGTATCATCATCACTATCCCGATCCCATTATCATCATTATTATTATTACATCATTGTCGTCATCATCATCACCATCACAATCACATCATCATCATCATCATCACGATTCCTTTATCATCATCCTCATCATCGTCATCACCACCTCTCAATCATCATCTAACTAACTACTTGAACTAATCCTCATATTTTGATATTAATTTCTAAATAATTGTTCTATTAAATCATGGTCAAGATACCCGCAGTGCAGTATAATTAAATATATATATGTATATGTGTGTGTCTGTATGGATGTGTATGTGTGTGTGTCTGTCTGTGTGAGTGAGTGTGTCTGCGTGTGTGTGTGTAGGCGTGTGTATATAGTTATAGGTGTATACATTGTCCTATTGAGAACACGACATTGCTTATAGAAGATAACGGTAGATGACTTTACACATATTTTTTAAATAACTGTTTTAGCAGATTATACATATCTTTACGTTCTTACTTGGCGTGTGTTTATGTATTAAGTGTGTGTGTGTGTGAGTGTGTTTGTGTGTGTGTGTGTGCGTGCGTGCGGGTGTGTTTGCACACGTGTTTTTGAATTTTAAATAAGTTTTCTGTCAATTAATCGTTCATTTTAAATGAAAAAAAAATTATTTAATATTGAAGCAGTGACGAATTGTTTTAGGATCCTTTAGATCACAAATAATTAATTAAATATACTATTACTACCCACAAAATCATTTGACAGTTTAACACTTAAAATTTTACAATTAAAAATGAAACAAGTTGTTCCGATATCGTGTTCTAAAGAAATTGATTCGAAAATGTTGAATGGTTTTGTTGATTGCTAAGCATTTCATGAAAAACTCTTCACAATGTTCACAAGAGGCCATAACTAAAAAGCCACTAAAAACTAATTAAGTATTTGAACATCCTCGTACGAAGCCATAAAGTAATAATTATAAATAATATATGCAGTACTTCGGAGTAACGACACGAAAATTTCAATTAATGATGATTACTAAAAATATTTTATAAATTTTACAAGTGATAAAATGAAAAAAAGTAACTACATATTTTAATAATTTTCTACCTTTTATTTTTATTAATTAATATTTTTAATTAAATTTTTTTAAACAGTTGCTGACGTCATTTAGATCATTCCAAATTGTAAGTAACGACAAGGTTGATGTAACCTGTATCTTTCGTGTTACTGTCTGAACGTGATACACTGCTGCTATGTTCAATTTTTTAGCTATCTTAAGTAATTACTGTAGTTGTCATGTGAAATAAACAAACAACCAAACAACAGAAAATGATTATTCAAAACGATTTTTTTTAATTTATGAAAAGAACAACTAAAGTTAAGAAACTTGATCCAAAAATATGCACTTGAAGTAATACGATTGCTAATGTAATTATTTCTTTTATACTATATTTCAGCGAGTAAGTTTAAAAGAAACATTACTATTTCAACTTAAGAAAATTCAATAAGTAGAAATAGTTAATAACACTCGTCTTCAAAATTTTAGAATGTTTCGTGAATTTCATTTGGAGTTGAACGTGTTACCGAATCATGTAAATTTATAATTTTATGTGCTCATGCGATGTTGAGTTTCAAAGCAATGATATCTTAAGAGTTGTTTGTTTGTTTGTAGAAACAACAAATTTGAAATGCCATGTGAAAATTAAAAATATTATTGCTCTCTAAATTTATAAAAAAAAACTTAAGCTTTTCTCCAATTATTTTTATTTTTGCGAGTTTTTAAAATTAATTTTACGGAGTTTTTATCAAAAATACACTAATGGGGTAACTGCTCTGAAAGGAAAAGCAAAGAACATAATCAGGCAAGTCAAAATTTTTATAAGCATGTTATAATTCTATTGACAGACCTAACTCAAGTTTCTAAAACTGCTGGTATTTCTCTAATTTAGAGAACGCAAAGTTTCTATTAACTTTCCGAATGTAGATCAACAACAACATCGCAACAACAACAACCAAATGACAACAAAATAGCAAAATTACTAATTTTGCAATCGTTGTTGACAAACAATAATATACATTCAAATACAAATCAGAATAATGTTATTCACACGCACACACACACACACCTGCATAGTTATCGAAAGTAGTTGGTACATAGGAAGTAGAAGCCTCGACCAATTTGGACCTGGCATAACAGGACAGCAGGCAAGTCTTACCAACCCGCTGGTCGCCCGCCAACACGCACTTCATGGACGGAGTTTGCGGAGAGCTGTTGTTGGTGTTGTTGCTGGTACTCGTCATCACGCTTGCACCACTGGTTGATGTGGAATGGCTGAGAGATGATGAAGTCGAGTGAGTGTGAGATATTGATAGGGAGGAAGAAGATGAGGAGGAGGACGACGACGATGGTGATTGGATGATTGAGTTGTTGTTCGATGATGATTTCTGTTGCACTCTTTGTTGGTGAATCTGATCAGGTGGCATGTTGTTTGTTGCTTCGAGAAGTTACGGGCTATATAATATACACCGTTCAATTTGTCGTTGTTTAATTATTGTTGTTGTTGCAATCATTTGTGACTTTGTTCTTCAAAAAATTGAAATTTGATTGCCAATTATAGATTGATTTGATTTGACAACCAATTTTAAAAATAAATTTATTGTTGTTTCAGTTAATTGCATTAATGATTGAATTACCAGAACAATTAGATATAAAAAAACAATTTTTGTTAAATAAAATTAAAAATAGCAATAAATTCGATTTAACAATTGTACAATTAATAAATAAAATAGTATAATATAAACTACAAAAAACTCAAAACACGAATAATTAAAATTAATTAAATGCAAATTAAATAAGACGATTTTTAAAAGTCTTTAAATATAGTTAATTATTAATTCTAAACATCCGTTAGTTAGCCTTCTTTAGAATTTATGAATGAATGAACGAATGAATTTCTTTTCATAACGTCGGTGGCTACGTCGCGA